ATGATCTCGTGTGGCATGAAGCAGCAGCAGCAGGTGCACCTTTAGCTCTCCCTGGACCACAGAAGAAGGTGGGTCTGAAGGGACAGACGGTTCTTAGTGAACGGGGGCCTGGTCTGACTTCTGCTCTCTCAAGGAGACGTTTTGTCTGTTTGCCCCTCCCCCATTGCATGCTATAAGGACAGAACCCAGAAAATGCTCTTCCAGCTGAGCCACAGTCCAGGCTGAGGAGGGGCGTCTCCTACCTCAGTGATTCTTAGCCCAACTTGCCCGCCAATACCACATGTTCCCTCTTGTAAGACATCTGCAGACAAGAGCCACCTGAGCACCCAGAGTGCTCAGCTTTCATCATCTGTCCACAGCAGAGAACCCACACGCAGGCCAGGATAGAGGCAGAAGGAGGCCATGGCAAAAGCCCCCCAGAGCCTGGACAGGGTGGGTGCTGCCCTTCCTTTGGGCTCGTTATTTGCAGGTGGAGCTTAGACCCAGACATGATGGCATGAGGTGCTCTTCCCTCCGGGGCTGGCCCATAGAGTCAGACAGAGCCAGCCAGCCAGGCACCTGCTCAGGCATGCCTTATCTCCTCCATCCAAACCAGCCTTTGTGATTCCCATCGCCTCTCAGTGCCTCTGTGTGCTCTGGCCCCAGCTCTGCACACCCCTCAGGGAATTAGGACAGGTTTCCACTTGAATGAGCTGCCTCCCTCTTTAGTCCTTTCCCTACCCCAGGAAAGACACAGCTCAGCCGGGAAGGGTGGCCTCCAGGGTGCTTCGCACTGGGCCGGTCTCTAGGACAAACACAGGACTTCCGCAAGAGGGCCAGCATTAGCCACGCTTCTGAACATAAGGCTCAATTGGAACGGGAGATCCTACAGCAGGGCCAGCCCTCTGCCTCGAATGAGTCTATAAACCATCCCGGTGCCTTCACCCAGCGTTCATTACCTTTAGAAACATCCTTCCCACTAACCATGTCCCATTCCTTCTCCCATCACAGTCTACATATGTGCATAGCCTCAGAAGAACATGACACTCCTGCAGTGTCATGCACAAAAGCACATGTGTGATATGAACACGGATGTGGGTGTGTGTTAGAAAACCGTACCAGACAACATAAGACAGCGGTTAGTGACTACAGTGGATGAGAACAGATTGGAGAATGGTTTCACTCGAAACCTGTCAGCAGGGTTGATTAAAAAAAAAAGGAAAAGAAAGAAAGAAAAGGAATGTTTTTTTCCCTCCCAACAGGACACTCTGTGAACAGCAGAGGAGAAGGCATCACCAGTTGTGAGCCTAAGGAGGCTGTGTGTCTGTGCATCGTCCCACGGAGCCTCAGGAAAGCTGTGGCAAAGCATCCCTCCCATAACAGGCATGCAAACAAACCCTGCTATCCTGCCTCCCTGCTTGCCCTGCTGCTTCAACTCAGGATGCGAACCGGAACTCAGATACATGTCTGCACATACACGGGTATGAGTATGCTCTCAGCACACACATATACACTCACTCTTTCTCTTTCCTGTCCTCTCTCACACACACTCACTCACACTCCATTTTCACCACTCCTCATGCACAGCACGCATCCTCCATGGGGCACAGCAATCTGGTCCACCCTCCTCTGCTGCCTTCAGGCCACACAAGCCTGCACATCAGCGTGTGCGTGCACATACACACGCTCACACAAGGACCTCTGATGACATGGCTTCTCCTTTTTTAAGTATTTGGCTATGCTGCAGGTTGTATCCTGCTCTGTAACCCATCCTCTGCTATTCAGTACACACACATAAACACACACACACACACACACACACACACACACACACACACGCACACACAGGGACACATGCTTGCATCCATACATGTACTCACCAGAACCCCATCTCAACATGGCTTCTCCTGTTTTTACATAGATGAGGCTCTGTTGCTGGTCCTGATTGAGCTCCTTCCTCTCCATTTCACTCATTACACACACACACACACACACACACACACACACACACACACACACACACCACCGAGGGCCCAAAGGAGGCCCCTATTATTGCCTGCTATTGACTATCTTATATACCCATATCTCTCCTTAATCCAGCCTCCAAAACTCACACACACAAAGTCAAACACACAGACATAGCATGCTCCCCCCTCCTGCCAGCATGGCTTTTCCTATCATTGCATGCACTGGCCTTGGCTGTGGGTCATCCCTCTCTTACTTCCTTCAGTGCAGACAGACAGACAGAGCTCCTGAGAACCAGCATGACGGGATTAGTCACATGTGCCCATCGGGGGAGGGGACAGCTTGGCTGAAGGGGTTCCTTCACCTCTGCTGAGAGGACTTGGGATCTGGATGTAGCTCTTCCAAGCTTGCCCATGCCCAGCAGCACCAGGATAAAGTGAGTGTGGATGACTGGTGTCCCCAGTTCTCAGTTCTCAACCCATATCGCCCATCCTGGTCCCTGCTCGGAGACTGGCTTCTACCCTTAGCTGTGAGGGCCCTCATGGCCCTGTCACACTCTCTGTAAGGACACTTTTTGCCTAACCCCTCACATCTGAATCTTTCCTACGACTTTAAATCTCCAGAGATGGAAACACAGGCCATCTGCTCACAACCCCTTGGCTGTCTCCTCCCTGGTTTCTCCTCTAGGGTTCCTCCCTGCCAGTACCCTAAGACCATAGCTGCTCCAGATAAGAGACAGGGGCCAGGGTGGCCTTGTGTCTCTGTGTTGGGTCTTTGGTTAATTTTCCAGGAGGCAGCTTCTCCTTCCCTATTCTAGGGGGGCCTCCAGAGGTCTCACATCCCACTCCTGAAAGCTTTCTTTCTCTAGAGGGTTCTTTGGGTCCCCCCTGGCTTCTCCCATCTACCCCAAAGTTAGTCTGTGCAGGGGGACACCGACCCCTCTTTTGAGGAGGTATGACTTGGCTCGCACTTCAGTTGAGGCTGCTCTTCTCTTTTCAGGATGGCAGAGGGAGGTCAAATTCAAATGGTCAGGGACAGGGAATCAATTGCCAATGAGATTGGAGAACCCAGGGTCCTGAATGCTGGCTTATTTACCAGCAAAGGTGGTCTTCTGGTTCAAGGGCCTGTTGGATTTTGATAGAATCTGTAGTTCTTCCGCTGGCCTTCCAATGTCAATTGAGTCTTTGGACGTTCCTTGTGAGGGGGGGGAGGCTTCTTTGTGCAGAAGTGGAGAAGAATTTTCTGTGGTTGCTACCTCATTCACATTCCTGGAGACTTTCTACACACTGGCGTCTTGGGACACTGACCTCAAGCATCTGAGACTGCAGCCTCCGTCTGTGTGTTCTCCTCTCCCACGCTGTCCTCACCCCTCCTGTCCACGCTGCTTTTCATGTCTCCAGGGGACTGCTGCTGCTGTGGGCAAAGCCAAGTTAAGAAGACCAGACCCAGGTGAATAGCTCTTAAGGGCTGAAGCTTTGCTTCTGCCCACGTAGGGATGGCTGCCTTTGGGCTCACTCTGGCAGCCTCGTTAGAACATCCTTAAAAGGTTCAAAGTTGGAATCTCTGCTCTTGAGGCTGCGTGCTAGAAGTCCTGGGCTTGAGGGAAAGGAGGGGGTATAAGAGCCATCTTCTGTATTCTGAGGCCTGTGCAGAGCCATGGCAGAAATACCCGGCTATGGAGAAGAGAGGAGTGGTGGGTGGAGCCTGAGAGGCATGTGCTTCCGCTGGCCTTCACAGCTTCAGAAAGCCATAGAAAAGACAAGAGGAGATGAAGCCCAAGCAGCTGGCCCTGGGGGCCCACGGGTTTCCTGGTAGATAAGAGCTGAGGGTTCACGGCTGGATTTGGGCAGCAGCTCCACCCCCAAGGCCAGCATGAGATGAGGATGTCCCTTCGGGTCTCCTTTGCCTTCCTCTGCGTGGACCGGGCCTGAAGTCCCCGCTGTACCCGTGTCTAGGGGAAGACAGGGGCGAGCGAGGTGCTGCAGCTCATGCTGTCCTTGCCTGGGAGCCTTCGGTCGTTAAAGGTGTGCATGTTGATGACCGCATCCGTCTTGACCATCATAGGAGGCTGTGGCTTGTGCTTGAGACGGCGTTGGCAGGTGAGGGAGAAGCGGATCTCATCAGCCACTGTGCTGCAGAAGGAGCGCTGGGGAGGGACAAAGGCAGAGTAAGACAGACCCTCTCCTTCTCCTGACCCCACACCGAGGCCACCTGGGCCTCACCTACGTGCCACCAACTTCTTGAGCCCCAGCGAGAGGACTGGAAACTTCTCTCTAGACTAAGGGGGAGAGGCGGTGGCTTCGACTCTGTCTCACAGAGGAGCCCACAGCAGCCCACATGGCATGCGCACAGAGCCCGAGGGGCTCTTACGAACCTCTTGAAGGTTCCCCTAGACTCTAAAGTTTTGTCCTCATGAATCCAGCCCCTCCCCCCCACACACACTAGGCCTGGCCTGGAGTTAGAGCTGGAGAGTAAGCATGTGAGTAAGTCAGTCCTCCAGCCAAAGCCATGGGGCTGGAGAGATGGCTCAGTGGTTAAGAGCACTGGCTTCTCTTTTAGAGGACATGGATTCAATTCTCGGTACCCACAGGGCAGCTCACAATTATTTGTAACTCCAGTTCCAGGGGCTCCAACACCCTCACACAGACATAAGCAGCCAAAACACTAAAGCACATGAAATGAAACAAAACAACTCCAAGGGGCTAAAGTTATGATGTGGAAGAGAAGAGTGTAAGGAATGAGGGCTAGGAAAGGCTAGTTAAGGAGATGGCATAGCTTAAAATCTAGCAGTGTCCTCCAGGTAGGTGAAGCAGCAAGTGTAAAGGTCCTGAGGAAGAAACTTGCTGGGTGTGTCATGGACTCAAAAGGGAAGATGAGAGAGGGGGATGGGAAAGAGCCTGCCATTTAGAATTCAGTTCAGTCTTAACAGGGATCCCTAAAGATCCTGGCATCTATTCTTTTTGAATGTATCATAAATTTTAACCATCCCCTGTTAGACATTTAGGTATTTTATGTTGTGGTTCACACTTAGACAAACATCCCCTTGAATAAAATAATCCATATCCTTGACCACTTCAGACAACTGCTAGTCAGCACCGCAACTGATTTCAAAGACTGTTTCCTGTGGAGTGGTCTCCTGGGACCGTACCTGTTCAGGCTTCTCTAAGGCAGTGGCTAACTCGCACAGCCAGGGCCGTCTCTCCCTTCTCTCGATTGACTTAGCCTTGCTGGTTGTTAAACAACTCCAGCTCATTTTGACGGATCTATCAGGCACTGATTGCAATGGGCCCTCCATACGTGACCCAGCGGCAGGCTCCTGTCAACCACACTCAGCCTGGACGCTTTTGAACTTCCACCGGTAGTGGCGATTCCTTTGCCCAAAGGCTCTTGGCTCAGGTGCAGGCTTAAATCACCCCGTGGGCCTTCTGCACACTCCAGAGCGAGGCTCTACCATGGGCCAATTAAAACAGAGTCTCTGGGAGTGAGGCCAGGGTATTAGCACTTAAAACCCTCTCTCCATGCTTCTAATTTGCCACGGGACCCGAAGCTCCTGCCCCGACCACGCTTGAATTAATCAGGCAGGGGAAGACTAGCTTTACTGTTTGCACACTTGGGCCATCCCTCAGAACTTTGCTTTTTTAAACTTTTTATTATGGAAATTTCCCGATATATGCAAGAGCAGGCTGTACAATATAATGAACCCCAGTGCCTCCGTCACCCAGCTTCAACAATTACCCTGGGGGTTTAGGAAGGGAGCTGACACGGTTTGAATTAAGTCTGAAACACGGCAGTGGCTGCTGTGGAACTTGTAGATGGCAGTGGAGAAATGCGGGCAGAAAGCACTGGAGGTTGGGATGTCAGCCTAGGGGGCAGGCCAGCGTGAAGAGAAAGGGTGGAGGCTTAGGAAGCCGAGTGGGCAGGAGGCAAGGAGGCGTCCAGAGGTAGAAGGGAAGGAGTGGAGCCTGGGGCATGACCGCGGAGGCCGGGGCATAGTTTGGCTGCACACACTGGCCTGGGATGGAGTGGAGCAGGGGTGATGGGAAAACATGAGCTGTCAGGACAATGAATGGCTGATTCTGGAGGGTGGGATGCAGGGTGGCAGACGGGATGGTGAGGTGAGACCAGAGCGCATGCCCTCGGGAGGATGAAACCAGCTTAGTCTTGTCCTTGCCTTCCTTCCCTGTCCAACGCAGCCTCCTCCAGGACCTCACCTGCTCCCGCTCCGCTGTCTTGCGGAGTTTGTATATAAATTCGCCCACTGCCACCAACACGGACAGTACTAAGCCGGCGGCCAGGACGATGAAGATGCCACCAATCTTCTGGATGCCCAGGGCGCTGGCCTCCTTGTTCTCCTCCTCGGGGCACCCGCTGCCTCGCCACCACTTCTCCTTCATGATGTGCAGCTTGTCTTCCTCCTGCAGCTGTAGAATGGCGATGGTGATTTTGTCCCGGTAGGGGGAGCCTGTGGAGAGGGCAGGGGCCAGTCAGTGAGCGGGGCGGGGGGGGGGGGGGGGGGGGCAGGACACACACACACACACACACACACACACACACACACACGACAGTTTACTAGAGCTTCCGTGACTATGCCTCCGCCAGCTTAAAGCAAGGACTCCGCTCACCAAGGCCCCCTTCCAAGTCCAGGAAAGGTATCTTGGTAGGGAGGCCTCATGCACTGGGTGTGGCCCGAGGAGGCCCTGAGTATGTGGGCTGCATCAACAGGGAGAGGGTAAGGGGAAGCTGTCCCAGTTCTCACTGCTCAAGGCCAGCTGGGTCTCCACCCCTCTGCTCCCGCCTGAGGAAACACCATCTTTCCAGGTCCAGTGGAACGATCCTGGGGACCGTGCGCCCGTGAGAGGAGGGTGGAGGGGCCCGGGATCCTCCATCTACACTACACCCCTCTCCTTGCGCCCCGCTCACCCATGGGCGTGCCGATGCCATAGCCCTTGGAGTCGATGAGGCCCCCGATCTGGGTGAGGTTGCAGTTCCTTTGTGTAATGTACTCTATGGTAGTGGACTCCATGAGCAGAGCGTAGTCGGCTGTGAGCGTCCGCTGGATGCCCTCCTCGTTGTTCTTCACCAGCGCCGAGGGCTTGCTGCTCATGAAGGCCCACATCTTCTCAAAGGTAGAGATCTTGGATTTCTGGGTGGCAAGGGATGAGAGTGCTTAAACCAAAGTCACGGAGCCCCTCCCCCCATGCTCCACTCCCTTTGGTCACTCAGCCTGGCTCCAGCCATCCAACACTGTGAATACTCCGTAGGGTAGGGGAGCTGGGTGTACTCTGTAGGTGGGATGCACTGCCATTGCACGAGTAGAAACTGAGGTGATGGCACGCACAGCTGGAAGGCGCTAAAGCTGAGGTTCAGCTCTGGCCCACTCCCCAGTAGCCGTGGACTTTTGCCGTAGTCCAAAACAAATGGTCTTTGGAATCAATTAATTACGTTTTGAGGCAGGTTTGAGGCGGGCGCTCTGCCAATCTACCTGCAGTCTCGGCTCTCAGACTGACTTCTTCAAAATGAGTGTTCTCCAATATCTGATAGGGCCTTATCTGTAAGAACTTGATGATCCCCCACAGAAATCATAAAAAGTGTCACTAGCCCCCATTTTGCAGATGGGGAAGCTGAAACACTTAAACAATTCACCCAAGGCTATCCAGGGAAGAAATAGCAGGCTTCAAATCCGTACCCTCTGGAGACAATCCATGTGCCTACCCACACAGATGCATTGTAGCCCAGCAACCACTAGGGGGCACAAATGAAGGCAAAGCTCCGGACTTTGACTCCCCACTTTCACTTCCGGCAAAGCTGGTTCTCTTTATGTACTCTGCGTCAGGAGAGGACTGAAGCAGGGTTCTGGGTCCGCTCTCAGTACTGAGAGAGGCACAATGAGAACTGCAGGCAGAGGGGACGGCAAGGATCCTGGGAGCAGTGGTCATCAGGTCCCTGCGACTACTTCATGCCTGAGACCATAGGCAGGATGGGAAGCCTGGTGGATGGGCTGCTGTCTGCCCCAGGAAGATTCAAGGAGGTCCTTGGGACCAGGAGAGAGGGCTAGGCATGAGCGTCCCCTGCTGTCGGGGTGTGCTAGGTGTTCTTGAGCCTCCCTGGGAACCTAATGTACGCCAGCTGCCTAGTCCCAGCAGAGACCAACCCTGCACCCTTAGTCCCTTAGTCCCAGGGGAAGAGATGGTTCTGAGAGCCCCATTGTATCGACTGTTTCCAAGTCTGGCTGTGGCTTTCTGTGACGTCAGCCTGTCTGATTGGCACCCAGCCCAGCTCTGGTGCACGTGACAAGATGGGTGCACTCCCACAGGCTGGCACAGGCCTGGGGGAAGGGCAGGGAATGAGGCTGTGCCTGCCAGAAGGGGGCAGGGAGCCTGAGAGGAATGTGTACTTTCTTCTCTTTGGGTGCCTCTTGGCTCTGGCAAGGGATGGGTCCTCTGAAACTGGCTGTTGTCGTCCACAGCAAGCCCCAGGGAAGGAGGCCATAGCCCAGGAGCGAGCGCCAGAGAAGCAAGCAGGAGCCCTTGGACTCCATCTAGATGGAATCAACTAAGTGCTACAGGGCATGGAGCCCTTGCAGTCACTCCCCTGCCTGCAAACTCAGTTGCCTCAAAGCCAGTGCACAAAGGGCTCTGACGCTCTCACTCTCTCCAGTTCTCCACGCTCCGTCCGCCCCACCTCCACAGCCTTTACACCCTGCCACCTTCCAGCCTTCTTTCCACCTCAGCTCATCCCCAAGTGACTCCCCCAACCGCACTCCTGCTCTCCAAGTGCCCCCCCTCCCCCTGCCAACAGCTCTTTTCTCAAAGATAACTCTCATCCTCTCATCTCTGGCTTTTCTGATGCTCCAGATGTTTCTCATTTTCCGGATAATTTCTGATATGCAGATTCTCCTCTGCCAGCTTCTTTGGCCCCTCTTCCTGCTCTTCCCACTCCTTCCCCAGGCACCTCGAAGCTTCTAATGACCCCCACTTCCCAGCAGTCACACCCTTGTTCAGTCTCCTCTTCTTCCTCCCTAGTGTGGGCTTGGACCTCTTGGCTAGATTTTGGATTACTCTCCAGAGGGGGAGGATGGTACGTGCATTCCTCTGCTCTTCTCCCAGGTGGTGGTGGCGGCCCTGTCACACTGAGAACTGCCTTAAGAAGAGATGCCCAAGGCAGGGGTCAGAGGACAGCATCTAGCCAACTCTCGGGGAACAGCGCTTCTCTTTCTCAGTCCAGTGACGTGAGAGGAACCGAGTGTGTGCCCATGCCACGGGCTTAGAAGCCATGCCTCAGAATGACCGCAGCCTTGGCTGACAGCTGGCTCACAGCCCTCTGGCGAGCCTTGGGCCAGAGAACTCTCAGAGCTTCACTGGGTTCCTGACCACAAGCCACCAAGTAACAGATGTTGTTTTAAGACCTGAAGTTTGGGGTAATTTGTTAAGCAGCAGATAACTAATACACTCTCACATGCGTGTTCCCAAGAGCTGCCCTGTTCCTGATAGAGCCGAGTAGATGGATAATCAAGAACTCCAGCTACTTCTGTAATCAAATCCCCCAGATGCAACCATCTCCACTCCGGCCAGATGCACTGCTCCCCAGACTAGCTTGCATCCTGGTTGTTCTGACCTCACTGCTCTTCTCCCTTCAAAGACCCCAGCTCCTCAGCTGCCTTACGCTCCTGCCTCCTGCCTCCCAAACTATTTTCTACAGAGGTGGGAACCAGGGTTGGATGAGGCATCAACCCTCTCTTACCTCCTAATGCATCTACCTGTTAGTTCATCCACTGTTAATCCAATCCATCCACACGCCCACCCGTCAGTGCAGCCACCTGTCAGTCCGTCTGTCTATCCACTCCACTAGTCTACCCATGCATGCGTCCACTCCTCTTTCCTCTTCTCACTGATCTACATCCTAGATATCCAGCTGACTGTCCGACTCCTCATCTGACCTGTGACCTCTTTATACCTCCGTTCCTTACACACATATTCATCTATCCATCCTCTTCCCCACCTAACCATTAGCCACCCATGTACTCTTTTGCCCTCTCACCCATCACACCCACTTACTCTCCCAGGAAACTCGTCACCTACAGCTTCTTAGTCTTGGCGAAAAGCGACCGGAGCCTTTCTGTGAGCCTTCCCTGCTTCCTGTGCCTCAGAATGTGATCAGAACACCATTCTGTCTCAGCTCCACCTTGCCCTGACTACCCCCCCCCCTTTCCTCCTATCTAAGGCCTCTGCCGGAGGCCAGCAGAAATACTTGTTATAGAGGCAGGGGATTCAGTTGAGCCTGGAGACTGTACTGAGGCAGACATTCTTGGAGGCTTTAAGGAAGACACGAGTGGGGCTCCCTCAAGGAGCAACAAAGGACAGCAGAGAGAGCAGGCCAGTTAAGATGGGAGGTGACACCAGGCAGAAGCCGGCTGCAACATGCATTTCAACGATTCCACCTTCCAATTCTGGGCCTCCAAACTCACCTCCTCTTTTGGCTTATTGTCACATGAGTCTGCACCCTGCTTCCCTCGGACGTCCCCTACTGTTCTTGACCCAGACCTGGGGTCCCACTCTCAGTTACACCTGCTCACGGTCTCTGCCCATCATGCTTTATCCTTGAATAGTTCAGTGATTCTGGAGCACAGCCACGAACCCTTCCCTTCCCCCCATGTCCACCATACAGAAGGAAGCAAAGGTCTCCTCAGCTCCGTGGGCTTCCTCACCACTGCCGGCCTGAGCTGCAGCCTACCTCCTTGGGGAGTGGACTCCCAATGGCTCTGGAGTCATCCATCTGTCCTGGCTCTGGTGGGAACCTTAATAAGGATTACTGCAGAGCCAGTCACCTAAATCAATTAATGGAATCATTTGGAGCAGCCAACACAGGGCGATCTGCCAGGATGAAGATGCTTTTTTTTTTTTTTTTTTTTTAAAATCAGGAAAAATTGGCAAGAAAGGAACTTCCAGGCTCACGACTCTCCATTTCAGCCTCCTCAAAGAAGTGAATTGATTTTCCCCAACCGAAGACACTTAATCTTGAGAATTTAACATTTCTGCACAAGAGAATGTATATGGGGCTATATGTGCATATATAAACACGAATCTATCAGCTTTGAGCGAAACTAAATCTCAGGGAGTGTGTGGAGAGAGGCAGCTCTGGTGTGATTCCATGCGAGACTTTGGGTATTTTCCATTCTGAAGAGGAGACCTTTTCCTGACTAATTAGCTTCCCCAACCCAGGATGGGGAATCCTTGGCCCCATCAGAACGGTCCTGGAGCAGTCATTCACGTCTCCCGGGTTATTTTTGTGGGCACCAGGAGGCCTCTCTGAGTGCCCCGCCTCTGCTATTATAGTCCCGAGAGGACCTGCAGGCTTACTTCGGAGGGCACCTAGTGATGAGGGCTGTGGGTGCAGATGGAGATCACAGCGGGGTCACCTCCACTACACTGACCCTGGTGTCACACCAGCCTGTCTTCAAATGCCAGCTCTTTCTGTCACATCACACCTCTGAGCCTCACTTTCCAGGTCTGTAAAATGGGGCCTTTAGGGATGGCTACTGCACTGTCTCTCATCAAACTCAGCAAAGGAAAGGCGTGCTTGGGGACGGGGGGGGCAGTATGAACACAAAAGCCAGGCTGGAAGGCTCTATATGTGGCTGGGGTCATTATTATTCTCCCGAAAGCCTAGTTTTCCCATTTAGAAAGAGAAAATAATCTCTCCATAGTGCAGAGCGGTTGTGGAAAATAAATGACTCAAAACTTACAGGGAAGGGACTGGGGGATATGACTCGGTTGGCGAAGAGCTTGCCCTGCAAGCACAAGGACCCGAGTTTGATGCCCAGAGCCCACATTAAAAAAAATAATAACAATTCGGGTATGATGGTACATGGCTTATAATCCGGCACTAGGGAATCAGAGATAGGTGGATCTCTGGGGCTCACTGGTCCTCACCTAGCCTATCTGGCAAGTGCCAGGCCAGCAAGAGACCCTATCTCAAAATGAGGTGTGTGGAGCCTTAGAAAGAATGCCCGAGGTATGTTTGCACACACATACACAAAACATTCATGCACTTAAGTCTCTCTCTCTCTCTCTCTCTCACACACACACACACACACACACACACACACACACACGAAACTCAAGTGCTAACAGGACCAGCCCTACT